GGGACTGATTTCTGAGTCTGTAGGTTGTAGCACATTCACATTGTACCATCTTGGGATTCAAGGGTACAGGTCCCACTGGTCCTGACCAAGGCCCATGTCCAGGTATATTTTTTTGTGTGCTGAGCACAGCAGTGACATCCTTCTACTCACTTTGGGTCACAGGGTCCCTGCCGGGATTCCCAGAGCCCTGTGAGTTGCTTCATTCTAGGAGATCATTAATCCCTCCCGCCTGAAGGGCTCTTAGAGTCTTCTTTGGAGCCATCTGCTGTTAGCGTTTGAGTCAGAGCGTCCTTCAGTAATACAGCATCTGTTGGACGCAACTTGTGCTGTCTCTGAACCTGAACTTGATTCTCTTCTTGGCTTGTAAGGAGGGCAGTGATGAGAAGCCCTTTTCAGCTGGGCCTAATTAAGCCTTCCTCATTTCCAGCTCCCAGGGCCCACCTCATTCCGTGGGTGGTGAAAAGCCTCTAGGAAATCAAGCAGCTGAATAGTACCTCATTTCACATTCAGAGCATGGGCCACATGGTCTACCTGCCAAAGGGAAAAAGAATGGCGCTACTATATGACATTTTGGGATTAAAGCGAGGGGTGTTAGCTTCTCAGGCCATGGGTGCATCTCTCAGGACACAGTCCCACGGTTTTATGAAATGCTTCTAAATTCGGATATCATATTTTGTTGCAATCTGGTTCGAGGACAAAATGAGGCCCTGGCAGCTGATGTTTATGGCTTTCCATATAAGCTTTCAGACAAAATTTGTATTGCATTTTTCTTGAGTTATGGTGAGACAGGACTGTAAAGCTCACATTGCTATTTCAGATAAAATGGAGGCTTTGGCTACAATAAAGAGAGAAGATGCAGCTTTAAATTTCTTGTAAATCAATTTTTGAGAGGTGTAAAATAACTACATAAAAATCAAAGAGTAAACCGATCCACAATAAAAAGAGAGCATATTAAAGTTTGCATTTATTTTAATTTCCTTTTCCACATCAGTAAATAAATCAATTTAAACCTTGCCTTGGACTTCCTCTACATTTTACGAGAAGATAAAAATCTGCACCTCTCATTTCCAAATCTGGGGGGCTGTGTGCCTGCTTAGCCCAGCTGAGGGACGAGATTGTCACACTGCTCAAGGCAGATGCTCCCTGTTGACCATGGTCCTGCTGCCAAGTAATTCATGGGCAGATTCACCTGGAAATCAACTTGATGATCTGAAGAGGGGAAATAAACCAACAAAAGAAAGTGATTCAACATTGTGCCCACCAATATGCCTATAAAATCATCTGTAAGTATCCAAATGAACCCAAATTGTTGACCATAATTTTGGTCATGACTTTATTCCTCCTTTTTTGAAAAAAAAATGAGGTGTTATTTTGACAATTGGGATTAACATATTGTACTGTAGATTATCCTTCAATGAACTATTTTAAGTGTGTAAGTTTCGCTCGTATTTATGATATTCTATCATCAATAGCTGAATAAAAAGAACCAAATAGTTCTAGTAAAAAAGCTAATTTAAATTTCATCTGAATGGTGCTTCCGCATTGCTTGACATTGTCAGAATACAAATTGCCCCTTGGTGGCGGCAGCAGCTAAAACTTTCCTTTAGATAATGATAATTCCTCAAAATCATTTTTCTTCCTCTATCTTTTGATTCAAATCCTGCCCAACCTATGTGGATACATTTTGGAGGAAACCCAGGTTTATATTATCAAAGGGAATATGTCGTGTATATGTGTAAACAGGATTGAGGATAATTTAAACCAAGTTTTGATGTCTTCTTTCTCAATTAATGTGCTGTGAGTGTTTTCTTGTGACACTACCAATTTGTTGAAATCATGATTTGGTGGCAGTTTAATATCGGGCATATAGTGTGGCTTTAATCATTCATTTAATCATCTCCCTACTGATGGGATTTTAGGTTGCTTCCAGCCTGTTGCTGTTATAGATCATGCTTGTGTTGAACACACTTGCACATTAATCTCCTTCCTGATCTCTTGATTATTTCCGTAGAACAAATTCCCAAGTGGAGAATTACTGGGATGGGCCTTTTTAAGAGTCTTCATGCTCAGTTTCCTAGTTGCTCTGTGAATGTTAGCTGTGTCCTCCTCAAAGTTTGCCAGTTCCTTGGGGCAGAAACCACATCTGTCTTGTCCCTGTGATATCCTTACATGCCACTATATATAGAAAGATAAGTAACTGGAGAGATGAATAAGTAATTACCCTCTTCCAGTAATTATTCCAACAGGGGACTGGCTGTATTGGTGACTATTGAGGAAAACTTGCTTTCTGAGCGCCCTCTTGGAGAAAGGATGCATGAGCCTCTGTACTGCCTGTATCTTTTTCAAAATCTCTTAATTATGATTTTGTCACCTTCTAGGAAAGGAAGGCTCACCAAGAACAGCCCTGAAAAGGTCAAAAAATATTTAAATCAATAGAAAGCTGTTTTTTTTTTTTTCAGAATCTGTAATGGCTGCAGAAAAACATGTTATCAGAGCCAGAGTCAATGCAGTGTTGTTTATTTGCCTTTTCACTCTCCAGTGATGCTGCATTTTAAAAGCCACCGTCGGGTTCCATTTCTCCTTGTGTTGGTTGGGAAACTGGGCTGCAGGGGTGGAGGACAAGAGAAAAAACTCTCTGTCAGTTCTCAGCCTGATTTGCTGATGCTGGTTCCTGGTGGGTTGTCTTCACTTTGAAAAAGCTTGTGGGGTCTTTGCTCTCTCTGATATCACACACATACACACACACACATACATGTTTTTGTACATGCGTTATATATTTTAATTAACAAAATAATACATGGTGGTTGTAACAAATTAAACGAAAGTAGAAACAAGTGGTAAAAAGCAAAAATCTCTTGAATTCTATAAACATACAAACATAAATATATGTACACTTACATGTATATGTATAGAATCTTAAGAATTTATCCAACTAAGAGCATATGTGACACATCTATAATTTGTTTCTTATACTTTATGACATATAGTGGACATCTTTTCAAGTATGTTCATGTAGCTTTACCTAATGTTTTCCCCCAGCTGCCTGTTATTCCACTACGAATATATATAGTTTAGTCTCCTATTGATCAACCTTTATTGTGGATTAAAATAATCTATAATGATAATAATAGCGAGTAAATGTTGACTGAGCATTTATATGTGCCAGTACTGTCCTAAACACTTTGTATATAACTCATTAATTGTTACAACAACCCAATAAGATAGAATTTGTATTTACATCCTACTTTATACGATGACATTTGAGGCCCAGAGGGGTTAACTCATTACAGGTTGTTCAGTTAGGAAGTGGCAGAGCCAGGATTCAAATCCAGGCAGCTGGCTGCAGCACATATGCTCTTAAGTTTGCTTGTTTGCTGTTCTAAATGATGCGGTACTGAATGTCCCTGTAGATAAATCTTTATGCATTCTCACTGGTATTTCGGAAGGAGAGATTTCTAGAAGTGGGAATGGTGAGCTATAGTTTTGCCCTCATTCCAGTAAGAATTATGGAGATGTCTAAATTTCCAAGTAGATATCTATCTTAGTCCATCTTGGGCTGCTATGACAGAATACCATAGACTGGGTAATTTATAAACAATAGACCTTTATTTGTTTCAGGCTTGTGGAGGATGGGGATTGAGAGGCTGCCTCTGGTGGGGGCCTTTGTGATGTGTCATCCCATGGCAGAAGTCAGAAGGACAAGAAAACATGCATGTGCAAGTTAGAGCAAATGGGGGCTAAACTCGCTTTTATAACAAACTCACTTTTGAGATAACGACATTAATTCATTCATGAGGACAGAGCCCTCATGACCTAATCACCTCTTAAAGCTTCCACCTCTCAATGGTGTTGCATTAGGGATTAAGTTTCCAATACATGAGATTTGGGGGACATATTCAAACCAAGAAATGTCACATATAGGAGTGATGGAGAGAAGCATAAATATACAAGTGATAAAGTATTGACATGCCACATACAATGGTGCAGTGCTTGATTGTATGGTGGGCTTGGTAGGTGTGCAACCTACTCTTTCCTGGGTAATCAACAACAAAGATGACCATGATCCTCTGTATTGGGGTTTTTGCAAGCACAGGCAGAGGCAACGTTTCCACCTCAGGGAGGTAACTGGTCAGCCCCAATTGACTACTGGATCAGTGC